TTTCTGAGTGAACCATTTCATTAAATGTAGTACGTTTCTGTCCAGAGGTACTGGGATAGTTTACCCAAATATTGTTGATATGATGTTAATTTACTTACCCTCATGCAACCATAAAAAAAACATATTTTAGCTGAAACCGTGGTCTTTGTGATTCATGCAAGTTAGTGGCTGCCATCACTTTGAGAGTCAAAAAAGCAAATCAGACAACACAAAATTAGCACCCGTGTCTCGTGATGATATATTGAGGTCTTATAAAGCAAAACGAACAATATAGTGCAAGAAACTGTACGTTATTTACTTAATTATTACCTGTAATCCAGAGCCTCAGGCAAATGGGGAAGTGTGAAAACTGGTTCTTTCAGACAGTTTGTTTCAATGAACAGGCTCAAACAAACAATTCGCCAGTTTGTTTACGCATTCACACAATGACAAAGTACACACAATTTTAAAGCAACCAATAATGATGTGAAACACAGATATTTTACATGTCTAAAGCATATAAAGTGAATAAAATACCTTCATCAATGCACAATTATACATAAACAATGACCATACATACTGGTGCTCGGTTCACTCATGCGCATTTCAGCGGCTCATCAGTTCAGTGACTGTTGGAGGAACTGGAATGCTGAATGTGTTCATTCACCATAGGATCATATATGCTGGTATTTTGGCTTATTTGAGTGGCTGTCAGGTGTCCGAAAGTGAATTTGATTGAGTATCTTGTAGGGATGTAATGATTCACTCAACTCATGATTCGATTCACGATTTTGATTTCATGATTCGATTCACAATTTTTTTCTTTTTACAAAATGATATTTAAGACAAATTATAAGTTAAATGTGTCCTTTTATTATTGCTTGGACAAAATACTGTAGATTTCTTTGTGAAATTGAAATATAACACTCTAATAATATACTAATATAGCACTTGTTAATTATTGCTCTTTTGTTGGTTTTGATTGCTTCTATTGTCCTCATTTGTTAGTCGCTTTGGATAAAAGCGTCTGCTAAATAACAAAATTGAAATATAATGTAAATGTAAATAACAAAACTAGTTGGTTTTTTTACATTTAAAAACAAGCCCCAAATCAATTAAATAAGTAACACAAATAAAATAAATCTCTTCATATAAACAAACTAAGGCTTTGTCTGTGCTTATTAGAGGCAACCACTGCATTTTAATCATGATCCAAAGATCAAAGATGCTGAGCAGTTTTTAATCTAAATTACATTGTATAATTTCGAAAATTTGAAGCAAAAACAGAATGGTTTGACTTCAGTTTTGTGAAATTATGCTCAAAGGGGTCATATGATGTTGCTAAAAAGAACATTATTTTGTGTATTTGGTGTAATGAAATGTGTTTATGCGGTTTAAGGTTCAAAAAACACATTATTTTCCACATACTGTACATTATTGTTTGAAATATAACACTCTAATAATATACTAATATAGCACTTGTTAATTATTGCTCTTTTGTTGGTTTTGATTGCTTCTATTGTCCTCATTTGTTAGTCGCTTTGGATAAAAGCGTCTGCTAAATAACAAAATTCAAATATAATGTAAATGTAAATAACAAAACTGTTGGTTTTTTTACATTTAAAAACAAGCCCCAAATCAATTAAATAAGTAACACAAATAAAATAAATCTCTTCATATAAACAAACTAAGGCTTTGTCTGTGCTTATTAGAGGCAACCACTGCATTTTAATCATGATCCAAAGATCAAAGATGCTGAGCAGTTTTTAATCTAAATTACATTGTATAATTTCGAAAATTTGAAGCAAAAACAGAATGGTTTGACTTCAGTTTTGTGAAATTATGCTCAAAGGGGTCATATGATGCTGCTAAAAAGAACATTATTTTGTGTATTTGGTGTAATGAAATGTGTTTATGTGGTTTAAGGTTCAAAAAACACATTATTTTCCACATACTGTACATTATTGTTTCTCCTCTATGCCCCGCCTTTCTGAAACGATTTTTACAAAACTCATCGTTCTGAAAAAACAAGGTGTGCTGTGATTGGCCAGCTATCCAGTGCGTTGTGATTGGCCGAATACCTCAAGCGTGTGACGGAAATGTTACGCCCCTCACCATACTGTGATGCCCTGTCAGGCCGGAGCGATGATTCAAAAACATGAAAACCCATTATAAACGAGGCATTTATTGCATCCAGTGGGGACATAATTATGGATTATAATGACTTATACTGTCTTTTTACGCATTGCGTTGCATCG